TGTTTAACGGGATGATGGATCCTGAGATGATTAGGCTCGCTCAAGATCAGATGAGCCGTATGTCGCCTGCTGATTTCGCTAGGATCCAGCAACAGGTACCTTAATTAATTTTCCATTGATTTCTCGTAGATTTTCTGAAAACGAAGTTATTCGATCGTAGTAGCATTATAGACTAGTTTTCCTATTGGATTGATATGATTGTGATTGTGATTATTGATTCAAGCTAAATTGCGACTTGCAATTGGAATCAGTCACTGCTTTTGTTCTGCAATTCACGAAAGTTTTGTATTGACATGCAATGAGTACTTGTATGTGTTAGCAAACAAAAGACAAAATAAGAAAGTTTGTTATGTGATTTAGTTTTTTGATAGTGGTTGTTCTAGGTGATTTTCACTCTGTTTTGTGTGATGAATATATGTCATTGTTGTTTTTACAGATGATGTCGAATCCGGATTTGATGAAAATGGCGACTGAGAGTATGAAGAACATGAAGCCTGAAGATTTGAAACAAGCTGCTGAACAGCTCAAGCATACAAGGCCTGAGGATATGGCTGAGATTGGCGAGAAGATGGCAAAAGCTTCCCCTGAAGATATAGCAGCTATGCGTGCCCATGCGGATGCTCAGTTCACTTATCAAATCAATGCAGCTCAGATGCTAAAAAAACAGGTAATATTTGCTTTGGGAGATTCTTGTATTTGTCTCTTCAAGTTATCACTACCTAGTTGAAAACTTTTGAATCCAAAGAAACTAGGGTTGCCAAATAAAATCTGGGGTTTTCAATTGAATTGTGCCTTCCTTATGAAAGTTACGAAAAAGAGAATGGCACCATCAACTGGAACTTGTGTAAGCTTCACAAGCTTGCAGTTTCTACTGCATTATTTTAGCTAGGATTTTCACCTTGTAACTTGATCCTGAAAACCGCTGGTGTTGTATGTTGTCCAAACTTTGATGTTAATTTCGTTTGCTGCTACTTTTGGCAGGGAAATGAGCTTCATAGCCGAGGAAATTTCAGTGATGCTGCAGAGAAATATTTGCGTGTAAGTCTGCATACGTATCTTTTGTCATGCTACTTGACTTTCCAGTCTATTTGTTATCAAAAAGAGTTTTACTGATATGCAATTTTCTTTATGCTTCTCTTACTGTTCTCCTGGACCTCATCTCAGGCAAAGAACAATCTGAAGGACATTCCATCTTCTAAAGGTGGAGCACTTTTGTTAGCTTGCTCTCTCAATTTAATGTCATGCTATTTGAAGACAAATCAGCACGATGAATGCATAAAGGAAGGTTCTGAGGTATGCTACACCTTGTGTATGTTCTTGATTTTTATAAAACTTCGCAGATGCTATTGCTAACGGTTTGAGGAAAAGGAGAGATGTCAATCTTTTGGATTCTTTTTTGTAGATGTAACACATGATTTCATACAGCGCCTTAAGACCTATTCAATCCTGTATCAACTTTCTTCTGATAAGTTTACATTTTGACATTATTAATTCAGGTTTTGTCATATGATGCAAGTAATGTCAAAGCCTTATACAGAAGGGGTCAAGCTTACAGAGATCTGGGCCTGTTTGAAGTGAGTTCTTCAAATATCTCCTTACAGAGATGGCTTATGGAAGTTTCTTGAGATTCCTTGCCAATATTTATATGTCCTGATATATGTTTCCTCATTGATTTTATAAAACTATAAGGATGCCGTCTCCGATTTAAGCAAGGCCCTTGAAGTTTCCCCTGAAGATGAGACAATTGCTGATGTGCTAAGGTATGGATTTTTCTATATTTTAGCTCTCGCAATGTCATGCTTATTTCAGAGGTTTTGGATATCAACATTTTAAAAATAAAATTGACTTTTAAGTTTGATCTTTTCTTCTGCAGAGATGCTAAAGAAAGATTGGCTGTTGAGGGACCTGGCAAGGCATCAAGAGGTATAATATTTATCCCTTATGATTTGTCAGACCAGACGTTTGTTAGCTGGATCGGTAAAATCTACTTCATCCATGAACGGCGAAACAACTGAAAATTATTTGTTGCTTGGTTATTAGGTGTGGTGATTGAAGACATAACTGAAGAAAATACTGTTACGTCTGGAGAAAATAAAAAACCGTCCAAAGAGGTTACTGGGACACAACGAGAAAGCAACGGCGATGGTCATGTTCAGGGCGTAAAGACTGATGTTGATGGATTGCAGGCTCTTAGAGATGACCCAGAAGCAATCAGGTTCAACACCATTCCAAACTACTGATCACTTGGAAGAAAATTATCAATTAAAGCATCCTTTTACTGCTACATGTACACGATTTGTATAAATTTGTTTTTATTCTTTCTTTGTCCTGCAGAACTTTCCAGAACTTCATTTCAAGAACTGATCCTGATACACTTGCTGCTCTGAGCGGAGGCAAAGCTGGAGAAATGTCACCAGACATGTTCAAAACTGCTTCGAGCATGATAAGCAAAATGTCACCTGAAGAGATTCAAAAAATGGTCCAAACAGCCTCTTCGTTTAAAGGAGACAACCCTTTCACTTCGACTGCACCATCTGCAGAAAACGGGTTTGCACCCACACCTGACATGCTTAAACTCGCATCTGATATGATGAGTAAGATGTCACCAGAAGAGCGTGAGAGTATGTTTAACATGGCATCGTCTTTGAAAGCAAGCGCTCCAGTTTCAACATCATACAGCAATGCAGAAGCATCTGTACCACGGGAAAGTTTAGGAACGAGCGGGATTAGTAGTTTTGCAGGTGAGTCAAGTTCTTCGGGTAATTCCTTCATGGCTCAAAGAAGCGGTTTCGAACCAAGCATTCCTTCTGCTGCGCCTGCTGACTTGCAGGAACAGATGAGAAACCAAATGAAAGATCCAGCGATGCGACAGGTTTGGTCATTTTCGATTTATATTCTACCCGTATAGGAAAAACATAATGTGATTGTAGATGTTGATATAGTAGCGTCTCTGTAAATGGTAGATGTTCACGTCGATGATTAAGAACATGAATCCGGAAATGATGGCTAGCATGAGCGAACAATTCGGGATGAAGCTTTCTCAAGAAGATGCTGCAAAAGCTCAGCAAGCCATGGCTTCTCTTTCTCCTGAGGACTTGGAGAAAATGGTACGCATTCGGTTTTTTAAGGAAAACCAAAAGAGAACAGTGTGTATAATTCTCTCAATTTTTTAAAAATGTTGTTGCAGATGCGATGGGCGGATCGGGCACAAACAGGGATAGAGAAAGCGAAGAAAGCAAAGAAGTGGTTGCTCGGGAAAGGCGGATTGATCTTGGCAATAGTCATGCTGGTTTTAGCAATGGTCCTTCATCGTCTCGGCTATATTGGAGGCTAAATGTCTCTCAAGACTCAAATCCCTTGGTGAAGATCAGAGAATCAGTCTTGGTTGGGTTGGTAGTTTGTAAAACTGTAACATGGACTCGTTCTTCTTTACTTTTTCTCTCGGCTTTTCGTTGGTCGCTTTTTAACCCACTTTTGTCTAAATTTCTTTCTACCTTCTGTAGTGTTTTTTTTTTATATCTAGATAGAGAGAATACGA